CTATAATATGAATCGACATCTTATTTTTAAGATTGCTAATAAACTAAAAAAGGTTTCTTTCTTACTTAGATAGCATTTTTGGGATTTGTTTTGTACATTTTCAAACTCCCGCTCATTTAGTGCATCGAAGACCTTAATGGAGTGGGAGCCGTGCGTCACGTCAAGTGTGACAAGAAACCAAAGGTGCTCGAAATAGAATTAAGTAAGATATCTCACTTACTTTTTTACGGTGTCAAATTGATCTGTTTACAAAACTGTTTTAGAAACGCCGACGCAGCTCACACTAGTTTACCGTTAGTTCCCACACAGTTTTGATCTAATGTTCATTAAACTGTTTCTATGACGACGTGTGACGAGCGCGCGCTTTATTTGCATGACCTCACAAAGGATGGTTTTCATAAACCTGAAATCTGGCAAAAATTATCCAAAGGATTATCTTTGTACTGTTTAACTTTCAAGGCTGCATGATTGCAATCCGAAGGCTTTACGGCCGAATAATGTCGAAGTTTTCCGACGATGCTCGAGTACTCGCCGACAGAGGATACGATATTATCGACGGTGTCCGATTAGGAGAAGGGACGTACGCTAAAGTAAAGTGCGCATACTCGCGGGATATGAAAATTTACGTAGCGGTCAAGGTCATCGATAGGAAAAAAGCACCAAAAGATTTCCTTCAAAAGTTTATGCCAAGAGAACTCGCTATAATACAAACGTTGAGACACCCACACATTATCGAAGTTCATGAAGTATTTGAGGTAGGGGACGAGACTGGATGAATGAATAAATAGTTGGATGAATGGATGGGAAGATAGACGAAGGAAAGGGATGGAAGAACAAATAAATGGATGAATGAAACTATAAGGCACATGTGATCAGTAGGCATGTTTACATTGATGGTTGGGTAGACGAAAATAACGTTCCGTCTTATTTAAATCTCATATTCTCAACAGGAAGGAGAAAAGGTTTACGTCATTATGGAATACGCAGAAAAAGGAGACTTGTTGGACCACATTAAAAGGAGAGGTTGCATCCGAGAATCCAAAGCAAAAGTAATATTGRTACAACTCCTCGATGCCGTGGATTTCTGCCACAAACAAGGAATTGTTCATCGAGATCTAAAATGCGAAAATGTCTTGATAAACAAGAACAATGAAGTCAAACTGACTGACTTTGGTTTTGCTAAATTTAAGATGAATAATGAATTGTGCAAGACGTTCTGTGGGTCAGCGGCTTARGCTGCATTAGAAATATTACAAGGTACGACTGATGACGTAAATAATGAAAYAATAACAGCACAAATGAACACTGGAAAAAAACTTACATCAAATTTACATCATAATTTTGGACACTTAAAGTCGTGCGCYATTTTTCCAGTGGAAATGATTGAAACAATGCATGCATATCTTGATTTTCCAGGTATCGAATACGACGGTGAAATGGTGGACGTGTGGAGTCTGGGTGTGGTCCTTTTTACRATGGTAACYGGKCGAATGCCATTTGATGACTCAAGCCTGAGCACGTTGAAAAAACAAATGAAACAGGGTGTGGCCTTRAGAAAACCTAAACAGAATATATCTGAAGACTGTAAAGACTTGATACGCAGTATGCTGACTCCAAATCGACACCAGAGAATTACAATACATCGAATCAAATCKCATKGATGGCTTGCTGAACCGCAGTCGCGCTCAAGTAGCTCAAGAACTGTAGCTTCAGTYTAATAATMTTAAATTAAAGGGYYWYTGGGAGGGGAAAAGGTGTAGMTAGGGGTRGGGAGGGATAGAACTATAATTTGRATCGTAACTAGCTATCTGGGAGGCGATGGTGGGGACGATTACCGGCTGCTCATTTAATGTCGTGCATACGTAAAGAAATGATTTTCGAAATAAATCGCTTGGTATTTTTCAGGTATTAAGTGGTATCTATTGCATAATTCTGTGTACGTTGATATGCTTAAAAACGTCGCATTCTACAAGAATTAATCGTAGCTCAACTGCGCAGGCTATTGCTGTGCATACAAAAATCAAAACCAAAGATTTATTTTCTGATATAATTTATTTTTTCCTGAGCAAATACAATAAACAATCATGTCTTCATTAGTTGATCTTACATCGCTTTCTATATAGCTCGTAGTAATAAGATTAGCTTAACACTAAATACTGACAGCGCGAATAGTGCACGTTGACTCGTTCATAAATTGGTTTTCTTGTCTTGTGGTGTTTACCAACCATGCGCCAGCCTATCTTCTTGATCATSACGGTTCGACATTGWGAAACCTTCTTACAAGTATGCATTCTRACTTCCTTAGGGATGCGGCTTTCATCGACGTTCACCACGARTGATTTCGTACAGGAACTCGTAGACTGGTARCTGTACCCTTTCCTGGAACCCTTCTCATTCTCCCCCGATGCTTCATTCAATACGTCAGTCATTCCATCCTCGCCGACGTCCTCATTWCCATCAACAGTGACGTCATCATCGGGCTCAATGACGCTGTACTTATCGATATTCATTTCAGCTTCATTCTTGTTGTCGTTGGTCCCATCAGTTTTTCCATCTTCGTCATTTTTGATGTCACTAAAGGCCTTTTTGACGTCAGCTGTGATGTCACTTTTGACAGTCCCGTCGTCATTTTTGTCGTCACTCTTTGTAACATACACACTTGGCGTCATACTTTTCGATGCGGTATCCTGAGAGACTATGACGTCATTGTTAGAGTCTCGTCGAGTGCGTGTTTGGTCATCGAAGGGTAGCATGAATGTTTGGTTTTCGAAAGGTATGAAGTTGCGTCGCATGAGTGTTTGGTTGTCGGTGGGTAGAAAGTCACGTCGCATGAGAGCTTGGTTGTCGAAGGACAAAGAGTTGTTGCTTGTGAATGTTTGGTTGTTGAAAGGTAGAACGTTGCGTCGCGTGATTGTTTGGTTGTTGAAGGACAAAGAGTTGTTGTGTGTGAATGTTTGGTTGTTGAAAGTAAGAGAGATGTTGTGATGTGTGAATGTTTGGTTGTTGAAGGGTAGAGAGTTGTTGTGTGTGAATGTTTGGTTGTTGAAAGTTAGAGAGATGTTGTG